CCTCTTAACAACATAATTCCAAGGTGGCTGAAAAATTAATTGCAAGACTTAATTTGGAGCATACACTTGTCACTCATCTAAGGCTCCATCCTAGGCTTAATCTCAAGCCTACACTTGTCAACCATCCAAGCCAACAAGTGGTTGAATCTCCACCCTCCACATGTCATCATCCAAGGCATCAAAGTGTTTCCACACAAATGTCAACAAGTGGACCAATGAGAGTTGACACTTGTCACACTTTTCGAAAATTACAAAAAGGTCCTTTTTGAAAATATTTTCCAAATTAAATTGTAAAATGGTCCCTAAGACGAAAAATAATTACTTTACAGTAATTACACAAATGACCCCAAAAGAAAGAGAAATTATAAAGAAGTGTGCATCCACACCCTTAAGGAAGAAAGATCACAACTAGCATGCTTTTCTATAAAAGTAAAAGTACATATAGCATGGAATTTAGATATCGTGGATGCATGCAAAACCAGAATCAAATCCGAATACGAAAAATGAGATTATTCCAACAAAGCGACAATCGAGAAAAAGACGAAAAGTGAATAGTGTCACAAAAGTGAAAACGTGAAAATGACTCGATCTTTAAAGGAAGTTGTCAAACCAAAGGAAAGAGTATCGAAAACCATTCTCGAGCACTCAAGATGACACTAAGTGACGAGAAGCCGAACCCAGAAAAGAAAGATCAACGAAAAAATATATATATATATATCCGTAAAAATCAAAGGAAATGAAAGGAAGGAAAATGACCGGGTCAGTACAATTATTATTTGTATCGGATGGCAATTTTGGCATTTAAAATTTATTTGTAGAATGTTTATCAAACATTTACTTATTTTTTACTAAATTATCCTTAAATGATCACTTATTTGCAATTAAGTTTCAACATAGGTGACTATTCATCTTTTCTTGACTTTAAGATCACTTTAGAGAAATTTTGTTTAGGTTTGATCATCAAAATCTAATTTTCCTTTTAAAAAAAAAATTAAAAATTCTGATCAATAATGGAAAACATTGTCTCTAATAAGAGAGTGATTGTCTGTCGTGTAATTGATCTATATTGAGTAGGTTAGTTACAAAGATGTACGATTGTTTAACTGTTATTATTGGAGGTGTAGAGAATCATTCGAGGCTCTGATTTGATAATTAAGATCACTTACTAAATGATAGTTTGATTATTATTTTTGATTTGATAATTAAAATCGGACATTGTTATTTATTATTGGCCTACACTAATGGTTAGGATGGGCATACCTAATCAAAACTGTCACTGAGAATGACATGTTATAGACTCCTCCTCGTAGGAGTTTGTCCTTTTCATATGAGTGTCTCTGTTTGTCAGAGTGATCTCATCCCTTGTTGCTTTCTACCATTTTCTTCCTTCTTCCCCTCTCATCTTTTGTCCCTTCACTTGCTTTCGTGTGAGTTTCTTATCTGCTTAGTTTTTTTTTGTGTTGGGTGGGTTTTTCTCGCTCACTTTGGGACTGGGGTTTATCTTTTTTTGGGTTTCCTGATCATCCCTGCTTTGCTAGGGGGATAGCACTGAGATTTGGTATTGATCTGCTTGGATTTTGCTGGCGTCGATTTTGCGTCTCCCTTAGGGTAATCGGTGGTGATCTCCTCTGTGGTTTTGCTTTTTACCGATAGTGTCTGTGGTTCGCTTCGCAAGTTCTTTAGCTGGCATCAGGTCACCGTGCTGGTTTCCCTGGCTTCTCCGGTCCGTCTTCTTTGTGGGTGGTTGGCTAGGGTCGTTTCCTGTTGCCGGCAGGTGGTTGGTTCGCGTGTGTTGATCGGTGGCCACCCGAATGGCTTTTCTACGCTAACTTTCCCCTTTGCTTCAGGTATTGTGATGGTCTTATTTATTTCTGTTTTCGTTCTAACTTTCTATCTATATTGTTGTGGAGGTGTTGTTGTCTCGGATTCCCATCGATCCATCCATGGTACGCATGGTGGTTCCACTGGTAATCATGGCCTCTGAGGTCTGGTTGGGTGGTGTTGTTTGTCTTTCTCTGGTGGATTCGTGCTTGCTGCCTAGGATTTCGAGTGCTTGTGTTGTTTATGTGTATCTGTTTTGGCTCTTGGTGTGGCCTTCACATCGTCTTGTCTCATCGTGCTGTTTGGGAGGGGTTCAACAGTTAAAATTGGGAATACGTTTAAGGCTTTGGCGAATCGCGCGGGTTACGAACCGTTTCTTTGATGTGGTCAGCGATGCGTGTCCCGCCATCGCCTATGGGTCGTGGTTTGGTATTGCAGGAAAGTTTTGTCACGCTGGTCAAATAAGGGGTTCTGTTGTTGCAAGGATTTTGGGGGTTCGCCATTATTAGAATATGTTGGATGTTGTTGCTGATAATAATGCTGAAGGATGCTTACCGGAATACTGGCCGTACTTTATGTTTCTGAATCCGGCGAATACTCGACGTCATCTCGATCTGTGCTCGGCGTGTGGAATTGTGGTTGACGCTGGAGCTTTTTTGGACGTGAGGCACTGTTCCGGTTGGGCAGCAATATGGCGGTCGTAGTCGGCTTTGGTCGTCGGATTCTTAGTTTTTGGAAGCCGAATTTACTACGTCATGTATGACGTGTTCCAGATTTTTTGATGCTATTCCCGGTTTGCTGTGGGACCCTTAGAGCAACAGGTACAAAGGCGTTATTGCTAACTCGGGTGTCATAATTGCTAGTGTTTGAATTAGTACGAGACTAGCAATTTGTGAGATCCAGATGCTGACTAGCAAAGTATATCGCGACTGCTAACAATAGCATTGCGAGTCAAACAAGGCCCACCTACTGCAGCAACGGCTCTTTTCCCTTTCTTTTTTTTTTTTTTGTTTTGTTTTTTTTTTTTTCTTTCGCCCACAACTACTTGGCTGTTTTCCCTTTTTTTGTTTTTTTCTTTTAGTTTTTTTCTTTACTATTTCTTTTTATATGTAATTAATTTTTATTGTAAAAATAAATTTATGATTTTGATTATTTTATTTTATTTTTTATTTTAAAATAAATATTTTTTAATTTCAAAATTTGTCAACGAATATATATGAATTTTTTAAAACAAAAAATCATATTGTTAGAAATGGCTTCTTCTTTTTTTCTTTATTATTTCCTTTTATATGTAATTTAATTTTATTGTAAATTTTTTTTATTTTATGATTTTGATTTTTTTTTTCTTTAAAATTTGTCAACAAATATATAAGAAAAAAAAATTGTAAAATAATATTTTATTGATCACAAACATACAATATGAAGAAATACAATATTTTATTTATATTTGTGAAAAAATATGCAATGTCTTTTTATTTTATTTATTTAATTGTGAGAAAATATATAATGTCTTTTTTTATTTTATTTATGTAATTGTGAGAAAGTAGCCATTTTAAAAAATACAAGCAAACAAAAAAAATAAATATGCTTTTAATTTTTTTTAGTCAAAATATTAATTGTATTAAAAAAGTACCAACAAAAAATAAAAAAATAATAGATATCAATTACCCCATACCGTGGCTGAAAAATAGCAATATAGTGCTGCTAGCCACATCAGCACAATTGCTGATGTGGCTAGGGATCCAACAAAGCTTTGCTAGCATGTATAGCACCAGACCACTTGCCCTTACATTGACTTCCTTAAACAGACTTCTAAAGCGGTGCTGCACATCCGCTTTCGAGGTGTGCTACTGTGTTGCAGCATTCCTTTATCAGACTAGATATGACGTGTGTGGTTCTTAAGGATTGAAGTAGTGGATACGCCTTCCTTTTGTGGTGATGGTCTCCCTAATGTAACTGACATCTTTTCCTAAATGGTCAAGACTCTGATCTTGATTATAAGGAGTGTTAGTTAGGTTTTGATGATGATGTTTTTAACTTGTCTGTAAATGTCGTATGGAGCTTTTTTTTGCTAGGCTCAAAAAAAAAAAATAAAAAAATAAAAAAAAAAATTTAATTTGATTAGGATGCTATATTGACCGAAGAATGCCCATATAGGACCAATTGAGCAATAATCATGGCATTCCTTTTGAAGTAGATGTGACCATTATGCACCAAAAAGGTCCAAAACATGAAAAATTATTGAATACCCCGGGTACGTATTTCTGGGGCATACCAACCCTTAGATGTGGTAGGGCTCACCACTACATCCATAATCCAATGACCCTTACTACCCCGGATACCATACCCGGGGGTATTCATAATCTCTCCCAAAACACTAGATACAAAATTCTCTTTTTCAGTCATTTTCAAATTTCAAAATTAAGTTAAAAAAGTGTGCCACTTTTTATCCATTTAAAAAACTTATTTAAACTTTTTATGTAAGACTTACACTTGGTTGGTTCATATCTTTAAAAATAATTATCAAGAATGCGAAAAATAAAAAATTATTTCTTTTAAAATAAATTCGTTTGTAATTGAATTTTTACAAAACTATCTTAAAAAACTGTTAACCAAATAAAGGATATGCATGCCCCCCTTAAAAAATTTCAAAAACACTTTTATATTGGCCCCAATATAGATGTATTGCAAAATAAAATTAACTTGTGTCCTGTGAAACTAATAAAAAAATTTATTTGGACGTTTTATACCATATTAGTGAAAACCCAAACCGTGTTAATTCTTCTGTTTATTTTTTTTTTTATAAGTTCATTACTATTGTAATCCTTACTATAACACTTCATCACTTTATTTACATATATACAAGTAATACATCCATTATGTTAATTCAAGAGAGAGAAAATCACTAATGTCCCCTCTTAAATAATAGTTAATTGGATAATGAATTGAGTTATCAAATAACACCTATATATTTTTCTATGGGCCAAACAAATATATATATATATATGTGTGTGTGTGTGTGTGTGTATGTATATGTATGTATGTATCAATCAATCACCAACCAAAAGCAAAGATCTTAAATAATAGTTTTATTTCTCATTATAAATAAAAGGATTGGATTCTGAAATGACAAAAGCATGTATTGGAAACCCTAGCCTGTAGAAATGGATGGGGCGACTTCATGGGCACTTGGGACCTCCTTCTTTGGTCTTCCAGTTGTTGTAGCATGGACATTCTTCCTTGTGTCCATAGGTACCTGAGGGAACACACAGACACTTTGCGCAGCATTTGTTGCAGTAAAATAAGCATGGCTTCTTATGTGAAGTCTCCGAACACCGAACTTGACATGCAGCAGGACATTCTTGCAAAATTTTACACAAAAGTTATGAACTCCATTTATCACATGTTTATGAGAGTAATTAAAATGAAAAGTAAACACAAAGAAAAGAAAATTGATTGTAATATATACCTTCAGCTCTAAGAGATCCTTCACCCCCAGCCTATAGATGTTGAGACATTGAAAAGGGAAGTATCTATTAAATTAAGGTAATAAAATATCCAATTTAAAAGGAAACAAATAGATCATTATAACCAATGCCAATCTATGACCAATTTATCACCATTTCAAAGTAAAAATGGAGTGTTATAAGATGTCTGACATCACTATCACTATCAATTAAATAAATAAATAAAAGTCTCTATAAGAATAACATATATGGCTATGTGAGTTTTTGCCAAGGTAAATAAATAAATACCTTTCAAAAAAAATAATAAAAAAAAAATCTGTGACCAATTTATAAAAAGAATATCATAAAAGAGGGAAAATAAAATAAAAATATTATTTTGGAAATTTTGAACAATGCACAAGATTTTTATTTTCCTTTTCCAATATAGAACAAATTAAGAGTATACAAGTAATTATTACTAAAAAATGCGATCACTAGAGAGGTTGTTCAATAATTCAAGATCGTAAGATTGGTTGTAATAAGTTTTGGATCTTTTATAGTCACGGTGTGTACATACAAACAAAAGATAATAAAAGAAAATTACAACAGGTCATCTACAATACCATATAGAAGAATCGAAATATTGAGTTACAAGAAATAAAACAAGATTTTTGCATATGACTGTCCGATTCCCGATGAATCCTCTACTGTAAAGTTTGATGTTATAGTGATACTATAATGATTTTCAACCCTATTACATCTATTTTAACACTTTTATACCTACTTTTTCAGGTAAATCTAATGTATAACTATACGTAGGTTATTGAAAATCACTTCACTAAAAATCAGATATAATGTATTAGAAAATAAATGTTATGTGTTAAAAGCATATATTACGTGTTAAAAAAAGTGTATATCATGGAAAGAAAAAGAAGAAGAGATTGAGAAAGGATCTCACATATGAAGTTTGAATAGCGAATCCAAAGGATAGGAGTAAGAAAACAATGGAAAACAATGATAGACGATCCATAGTTTTGTATCTCTAGAATCTAGACCAAGTTAGAAGAGCAATATGTTTTGTCACTTGATTTTGTCCTATGCATTTTTTGTCACATATATATAGTGGAAAATTCTTTTTAAAAATAGAAAGAAAAAAAAATCATTATTGCAAAATGAATAGCCAATTAAATGTAATGGTTGGCAAGCATATAAAGCCAACTCACCAAATTTGATAGTCTATTATTTAGAGTATTATTTATTTATTTATTTATTTGCAAGATAAAATATTTACAAGAATTCATTTTGATATTTCCCAATAAAGTAAAATAAAATCTGAAAGTTATCGTGCTTATTATTTTACTAAAAAGTTATCATTTAGCAATTATGCAAGTTAAAACCAATTTAGCTTGACGTAGATTTTACCCAATTGTGAAAAGGGTTGGATCAGCATTACGAGCACAAAGATCCTGAATATTATGAGCACAAATCTGAATGAAAATCTGATGTGCCAACAATTTGAGCTTTGCAACGTTTGTTTGATAACATAATTTTATTATTTTTTATGCTACTCTTTTGAACTCAATTTGCTTGTAATAAAATAATAATAATAATAAAATAAAATTGGGAAGGAAAGAACATAATATCTTTAGAGCCTTTTAATTGAAAGACGTGTTTGACAAATTTTTCATACCAGTTGTTCCCTTTCTGGTGTAATAAGTTTTTATGGGAAAAAATTTAATGCATTGTTCCAATTTAAAATTACTATGTTTGTTATTTAAGTTTAAATATGCATATTAATAAGTAATTATTAAAAGATTATAATAAATATATGTGTATATATATATAGAGTAATTTAAGTGAGAGAAAGTAAAAAAGCTTTGAGAGAGAGAGAGAGAGAGAGAGAGAGAAATGAAATTGTTTTCATTCAAGCATATTCAAAACAATGATGCATATGGCTTTTTATACGCTTAACATTTACCAAACAAGCAATAATAAGGCTTTCACTATAAGCAAAAAATTGAGCTTCCTCCCCACGCCAAGATGTCATCATGGATAACTTAAAATATTGTGGGCTCCACAAACATAGATATATATATAACACTCTCCCTTGGGGTCCACAATACTACATTAAGAATATGCCTCGTTAAAACCTTGCTAAGGAAAACTCAGTGGGACAAAACCCTAGCGACGGAAAAATAGTACAGTATGCTTGTGTATCTAAAAATGGTATTGCATAGATTAAAACTGCTTATTAAAACCTTGACAGGAAAACCGAGTGGGATAAAACCTGAACGAAGGAAAAAGGAGTACATGCCAATACCTCTTCAATCAATTGATCCCCCTCATTGTTGCATTAGTTCAACCCTGAAGATCCTTTAGTTGACGCATTCCAATGTTGTGTACCAACTTCTTGAATGTTGTAGTTGGAAGCGTTTTAGTGAATAGATCTGCTAAATTTTCACATGAACATATCTTCTGAATATCAATATCACCATTTTTTTCTCGCTTTCATGTGTATAAAAGAATTTTGGTGAGAAGTGCTTGGTCCTATCACTTTTAATATACCCTTCTTTCATTTGTGCAATGCATGCCGCATTATCTTCATATAATACTATTGGGCTATCTTTTATTGATGAGAGACTACATGTTGTTCGAATATGTTAGATCATTAACATCAATCAAATGTATTCCTTGCTTGCCTAATGAATTGCGAGTATCTCAAAATGATTTGAAAAAGTTACAATCATTGTCTATTTCATAGATTGCCATGATATAGTAGTGCCGTCACACGTAAACACATATCATGTTTGTGAATAAGCTTTATGTAGGTCAGAGAGATAGTTGACATCTGCATATCCAATTAATTGAGAATTTGGTGCTTTTAAATAAAACAATCATACATCAGTTGTGCCACGAAGATATCGCAATATGTGTTTGATTCCATTCCAATATCTACGGGTTAGTGCTGAACTGTACCTTACTAATAAATTGACTGGAAAAATTATGTCAAGTCTTGTGCAATTTGCAAGATACAAAAGAGCGCCAATCGCATTGAAATAGGGCACTTTAGGACCAAAGAGTTCTTCATCATCCTCTCGAGGATGAAAATGATCTTTCTTGATGTCAAGTGATCGGACAACCATTGGAAAGCTCAATGGATGGGCTTTTTCCATATGAAAACATTTCAAAATCTTTTCTGTATATGTTAATTGATGGATGAGAATACCGCTCGAAAAATGTTCCACCTACAACCCAAGGCAGAATTTTGTCTTTCCGAGATCTTTTATTTCGAATTCTTTCTTTAAATAAGTGGCCATCTTTTCGATCTAGTCCAATGTTCCCACAAGATTCAGATCATCAACATATACTGCAACAATAACAAAACCAGATTCTGATTTGTTAATAAAAATGCATGGACAAATATGATTGTTCGTATACCCTTCTTTGAGTAAGTAATCACTAAGACGATTATACCACATTCGTCCAGATTACTTCAATCCATATAAGGATCGTTGTAATTTTATTAAGTATATATTACATGGTTTTGTTTTAGGCATTTTAAATCCTTTTGGGATTTACATATAAATATCACTATCTAGTGATCCATATAAATATGTTGTAACCATGTCCATTAGATTCATATGCAATCTTTCTATGACTGCCAAATGTATTATGAATTTAAATGTGGGTGCATCGATCACAGGGGAGTATATTTCCTCAGAATCAATACCAGGTCTCCGTAAGAAACCTTGAGCTACCAGTCGGGTTTTGTATCTCACGATTTCATTTTTCTCATTACGCTTTCGTACAAACACCCATTTATACCCAACAGGATTAACACCCCAGGTGTCTGGACTACTGGTCCAAATACTTCACGTTTAGCTAATGAATTTAGCTCTGCTTGTATCGCTTCTTTCCAATTTGGCCAATTATTTCTTCGTCGACATTTCGAGGTTCTGGATCCTTATTATCAATATCAAGAGCAACGACATATAATAATATATTGTCGACAACAATTTCATTTATATTTCATCTCGTTTCATAATTTAGTGATATCTCATCATTTTCAGGTACCTTTGTCTCATCAAGGGCATGTGCCTTATCAAGGGTCATATCATCATCTGTTACCTTTGTCTCATCAATATTTATTATTTCATCATTTTTAGGTACCTGAGACTCATCAAGAGCCTCTGCCTTATCAAAGGCTATTATCTCAGATTAATCAATAATATCTGTTACTCTTTTTGTGGCCTCTTCAGGAATTCCAGCTTTTCTTTGTAATTTCCTCTTACGAGGGGCAATATCTTTTGCACCGACTGGTCGCCACGCTTCAGGCGTATTTTAGATGCATTTGCTGCATTACTAACAAAAGTCCCTCAAGGATAGTAATTCGAGCTGGAATATTTGCAGCTGGTATATGTGATTTTATTACTTTCTTTATATCAGTAAATGTATCAGGTAATTGATTTGCAACATTTTACAAGTGAATGATCCTCTGAACTTCTCATTCACATTGATTTGTGCGAGGATTAAAATGAAACAATTCTAGGGCATTCCAAGTAAGATCACGTTGCTGCTGTGCCTTTTCTTCTCCTAATGGTGGGAAAACATTCTCATCAAAATAAAAGTCAGCAAATCGTGCTTTAAAGACATCACCTGTCAGGGGTTCAAGATATCTAATAATAAATGGAGAATCAAAACCAACATAAATTCCAAGTCTACGTTGATGACCCATTTTAATGCGTTGGGGTGGTGCAATAACATATACAGCACAACCAAAAACTCGTATGTGAGAGATATTTGGTTGTTGACCAAAAATAAGTTGCAATGGTGAATACTTATAATAAGCAGTTGGTCGTATACGAACTAATGATGCAGCATGTAATATGGCATGTCCCCAAGCAGAAACAGGTAATTTTGTTCGCATAAGCAAATGACGATCAATTAACTGAAATCTTTTAATAAAAGATTCGGCCATACCATTTTGAGTTTGAGTGTGTGCAACATGATGTTCAACATTAATTCCAGCTGACATGCAATAATTATCAAAAGTTTGAGAAGAAAATTCAGCAGCATTATCAAGACGGACTATCTTAATTGGGTAATCAGGAAAGTATGCCCGTAATTTGATGATTTGAGCAAGAATTCTAGCAAATGCAACATTACGAGTAAAAAGCAAACAAACATATGACCATCGTGTTGAGGCATCAATTAAGACCATAAAATAATGAAATGGTCCACCGGGTGGATGAATTGGCCCATATATCCCCATGAATTCGTTGTAAAAATGGGGGAGATTCAACAATGACTTTTGAAGGGGATAGTCTAATAATCAACTTACCTTATGAGCAGACGGTGCATAGATGATTATTTGGTAAGATGATTTTTTGATCCTTTAGTGGGTGTCCATGTGAATTTTCAATAATTCGACGCATCATTGTACTCCCCGGGTGACCAAGTCGATTATGTCAAAGCATAAAAAGTTTTGAGTTACACGATTTTTTATATATCACAGCATTTGACTCAATTATCCTAATGGTAGTATAGTATAACCCAGAAGAAAAAATAGAGAGTTTTTCTAATATCCGCTTCTTACATGAGGTAATGGAAATAATGTAGAGATATTTCACATTTCTTTCATTTGCTGTCTTAATATGATACCCATTACGACGCAAGTCTTTAAAACTCAATAGATTTCTCCGAGATTTTGTAGAATATAAGGCATCATTGATTTGTAATCTTATTCCATGTGGTGAAATGATGTTGGCTTATCCGGAGCCTTCAATCAAGTCGGTGGGACCTGATATTGTACTGACATTAGCGTCTGTCAAAGTTGGGTGAGAAAAATATTTTTAATCTCGAAGGATTGTGTGTGTCATTCCACTATCTGCAAGACATATATCTTCTCCATTTATTTTAGAACTAGTCATATTCATTCTTATTCATGCAAATTTCTTTATTAGAAAAGAAACTTTTATAACATAAGAAACTTTAATACAAACTAGAAAATAAAAACTTTAATACAGGAAA